GACTTTTGCTTCTATTGATGGGACCAATTCTAGCTTGAAGCGTCTTTGGGCTTACTTAACAGGGCGAGCTCCTTTCTTGACCGCAAGATGATGAACTGATACTTTAGGATCTAAACCAGGCATTTCTTTGTTCCTCTAAGCAAATACATCTCTATATTCTTTTAGTAGCTCCACATAAGTGCTTTCTTCATATGCAGTTAGTAGGGCACTTACATAGGTGGGCCTAGAATATTCCCCAGTGCCAAGATTGACTTCTTTCAATGCATCAACTGTCATTTTAATTCCTTCTCCTAGTTACTAGGGAGCATCCTTGGCATATTCGTCTTTTTAGGGATCACCATCATTGAAAGATATGTGGCCACACCAATAGGTGTCTCCCAAATATTTGTTGACCTCCTTTTATAAATGAAGCGTATTGCTCCTCATTCGCAATAATGTGGTATGCAGATCCTACACTTTCTTCATCTTTGTCACGCTCTTTGGTCTGGATCACTATATGAGTCTTCACTTTGAGTACCTCTCCGCATGAAATCAAAAGTTCTTATTGTCGCCTCATTCTGAAAGGATCAGACTTTGATACTCTTTGGAGATACTTTAGACTCTCGATGACACATGTCCTCTTATTTTTCTATGCTTTCTTTGAGACTTGTTCATCGTCTTTTTCAATGGCCCCAACCTCTCAAATACATAAGTTCTTGTAGTTGGTTCTCCAATTCAATCAAAGATAGAAGGCCTATTATTAGGATCTGTAAGTTCATATTCCACTGTGATATAGTTATTACTTGTTGTTCTTATGGAGATGTGAACTAGTGGGGGTTTTTTGTAACCCAGGCCCTCACGTGATTGCTTTACCCAAATATTTATTATCCTTCATCGAGTTTGTTTTCCAAGTAGCTTCATGTCAGAGCTTCCTTAGCTTAGATAGTTCATTGGGATCATATCCAGTCTTTGCGAATAACCTGTAAGCATTCAGATCAAAACCTTCATTGGTGCGCTTTATGGGGAGTGCCTTATTTTGAGGCATGATAGGAAGGGTATCAATTTGCTTGATAGGAAGGGTTAATTATTTTGGCGCATCTTTTTGGAGGCTTGATGATTGTCCTTCATCTTTATTCACTTTTGGGATGTAGAGAAATAAGAGCTATTTTCTTGCTTGAAGTTGCAGCATTCTTTTAATGAGTTTGTAAAACTTGGTATGCTTCTGTTGTAACTTTATCTTCACTAAAGGCTACTTCAGCACTTTTGGACACGATATTATCACCTTTGGCCTTCATGATGTCATCAACTTTTACTCATTTCACGATGTATTTTTTCAAGTAGAACTTTTCATCAGCGAAATATGTCCCGGCTTCAGCGAATGCCTTATCATCAGCAACTATCTTCTTTTTGACTCCATCTTTATTATACTTCAAATATTAGTAGTAAGTTTATGGGAACACTTTGTTCTCGTGTATCCACGGCCTACCAAGCAACAAATTGTATGAAGTCTTTACGGCAATCATCATGCATCTATTCACTTGATTGCATATCTCCCATGGTGATTTCCAATTTGATAGCACGTATGGCCCTTTGTCCCTCTTGATTGAATCCTTGAATCATCAGACGGCTTTTAGAAAGTTTTTCAGTTGAGATGTCGAGTTCTTTCATTGTGCGAATAAGAAGAATGTTAACTACAGATCCATCATCTATCAAGATTCTATTTATCCTCTGCTCGAGCACATAACCCATCATAAACAAAGGGAGACTGTGTGGTAACTCACCGAGTAGAAGTTCGTCTTCAGTGAAGGTGATTTTAGCACTACAGATATCTTCTTCTTGGAAGGGAACTTAATAAGCCTTTTAGACGATGATGGATATGGTTTTGATGTGACTTAATTCTTTTCCTCTTCGTCTTTATCAGCACTATAACACAAGTCCTTTCAATCATCGTCAGAAATCCTCATGCGAAACCAACTTGGAAAGAATTCTCACAAAGTCACCGGGTGGTGTGGCTTTTGATAATAGTGTGTCTCTATCCTCACCTTCTTTGGGTACTTAACCATTTGTTGCTTCTTTGGTCTCCTTACCATCTTATTCCTTGAAGGTTGCTTAGTTGATTCCTTTTGCGGACTCAATTTACGGTGTCTTTAACGAGTCACTAGAGTCCAACCATTTTCATCACATTGATCAAATTGGACTTTGTCGTCCTCCAAAAATTATTCATCTTTATTTCCTCACAGGTGCATATCTCAATTGGAACGAGGTAATAAACACATGGTTTGTGCTCGTTTTTTCGTCTTCAAGATCGATCTTATTTTGACGGGTCAAATTCATAACTTTGTCCTTGAAGACAAAGAACTTCTCAAGAGGGTGACCTACAAGCCGATGTTATTTGCAATAATTTGGGCCATTGATTTTTCCAGCCTCATCTGGCAGCTCAATAAGCTTTAGCTCGAGGAGTTCTTCAAATATTGCAGGCATGTCGGAATCTAGAAATGGGTATTCTTTTTCTTGCATCTCTTTAAGAGTCAAATTTGATTTGAATTGTCTTAAGAGGAAGTTATTTTCATACTCTGTTTCTTTCTCACTTTCGTAGCAAACTTCACGGGAGAGGCATTGACGTTCATAGATTCTTTGCTTTCACTTTTTGGTACAAACTTATTCCATTTTTTGACTTCTTGCTTATCCTTTCCCTTGTGAGACTCGTAGAGAGGCAGCCCTTCATTTCTTGCAGAGGCCATGCTCAACTCTATATCATGAGCACGGATGCCAAGTTCTTCAAATGTCCTCGTCTTAATTCCTTTCAAGATGTAATGAAGTCCCCAATGCATTTCTTGGATGCACATCTCTATGCCAGAAGCTTCATTTAGCCTATTGCAATTCAGGCTTTCATTCTTCCATCGATTGATAAAATCAATAACTGGTTCATCTTTTCGTTGGCGAGTGTTCGTAAGTTCCACCATGCTCACAGTACGCCTTGTGCTATCAAAGCAGTTGAGAAACTATTGTTCCAGTAGATCCCAACTATTAATAGATCCAGCCTCGAGGTTGGCGTACCAATCAAAAGCATTCCCTTTTAGTGAGAGGAGAATGATGAACTTCTTGACAATGTAATCTCCATAAGTCCCAGCATTGTTGCATGTCTCAACAAAGTGCGAAACATGTTGGTTTAGGTTTTCCTTGCCGTCAAACTGCTGAAATTTGTGAGGTTGATGACCGGCAGGCATCTTCAAGCTATCGATTCTTGTAGTACATGACTTTGTGTACATGAGAGAAGACTTTACAGTGACCTCATACATATCCTTGATAGTTCCCATGATGAACTCCTTCAATTGTTAGATGGTGAATGATCCTTTGGAGGAGACTTGAAGTTCTTTGGTAGATGAAACTTGTTTTATTGGAGGAACAGCCTTCTCGCGGACTTCAGGAAGCTTTCCAGATACATGACTTGATTATCATCCATCATGCTTTCAACTATGCATGTCAATTTTGCGATACAGACATCTTGATCTTGAGCATACTTTTTTAAGCCCTCAATCGCCTTTGTCAGATTTACGAGTTTCTCCTTTATTGTCGAAGCGTTAGTCATTATTGCCTCTATGATTATTGTAGATGATGAAGAGTAATTGAGATCTTCCCATAGATTGAACTCAGTTTAGAACATGTCATGTGGCGAGATTGGCGTAGATCCAACGCTTAAAACTTCATCATCGGGTTAGGTAAGTGGACTTTTGGTCTTGTATAAAGTGAGTTGAGCAAGATACTTCTCCACAGCTTCTGCAATATTATCTCCTCCTTCTGATTTGCTGGAAAAGGACCTTTCTTCTCCAGATAATGAAGATCTCCAAACATGCATTAGTGTAGATGACACTTGGAGTGAGTGTTGTCCCAAAATGATCGCCTTGCTTCGTGTGACTAGCCCAAGACTCCCTATAGTAGCATTCAGGATACTTTCAACGTCAGAGAAAAAAAACTTAATGTCACCAACTTTTGAGTCGATGTTCTTAGAAGCCATCTTAGTGATCTTCACTATCGAGAGTTGAGAAGAGATGAGAATAGAGATGGTCCCACTGGGCATGCCAAAATTTGTGACAACTAAATTTTGTTCCTGAAAAATAATAATCAAGACAAGAAATATAGTGACAAATATTATATTCGATTTCAAGTGATGGGGTTATAATCTCTAGAATAACTCAAATCTAAAGAGATATAGTCATCTGATTCTTTTCCCCACGAATGATGGTTCAAGAGCTCGAGAGCTTGATCTTGAACTTGACAGATTCCAGATTTGTGGTGCATCACGAACAACTTGACGTTCGTCACGAATCGGGATTTAGTGTTGTGTTATCACGAACGGAAGATTTGAAACCGTCCACCTATGATTTGAGTTCGCCTTTGACCATAGACGAAGATTGCAGATGTGGAGGGAGACGTTGATGTTATTCTTTAGAGCTTCTTTAGCCTTTCCTTCTACTTACTTGATTTGTTCTAGCCTTGTCTTTTGACTCCTTTATATAGGATGGGATGGAGTAGCCTCCAAGAAATCCCTAGTGGGCTATTGGGCTTGAGGCTCATGGGCTGACCCATTTGATAGAAGACTAAGTAATGGGCTAGTAATACATTAAACCTTTATTTAAATCAATTTAATTAGATTTAAATAATTGACTCAATTATACTAGCCCATAATATTTATTTTGACTAGTATATATTTAATTTATGATAAAATCTAAATTCCTTATGGATTTAAATTTCATAAAAATTTTATTATCTACAATGAACAAAACAACAGACCAAAATAGTATAATAAAAAGGTATATTTAAATATTTTTTCATAATACATGGGTATATTTGACCCTTTACCGATATAGAAATGGACAAGCACATTCAGAAACACTCTTTTGGAGAGACCAAGTTCTTAAAAAGAGTGACTAGCATTATCGTATAAATGAACGAACTTGAACTAACGTCAACGAATGTCAAACAAGAGTAAGAATCAAATTAAGATGGTCAACTGATACTTATAAGATAAGCAGTTTCTCAAGTAAACTCTCAAAATTTCTTTTCATCTTCAAGACAAAAATGGAGGAGCTGTATCTACTAGCACATCCCAAACAAAATGCTTCAATCACCTTACTTGGATCTTTCTTCTGTAACAAAACTCTAAAGTCTTGTGTCCGGATTAGCTTGCATAACATCAACAAAATTTACTGCCAATGCTGAGATTTAAACTCTAGGCAGATGAAAACAAGGCACCTAGCATTTTCTGCCAATGCTGAGATTTAAACTATAGTTTCCTATGGTCCGTTTCAGCAGCTCTTGTATAATATAGTCTACAAATCCCATAGATGCATGTAGAATGTAACCATAGTGGCAACTTATCACCCAGAGGACTGGAGTAAATACGTAAAATCTGAAAAGTTTTAACATTAGCCACACAAGGATGGGCAAAAATCCATATCGAACAAAATTTGATTTGCAGACATGTCCAGACACTGACATTATAAAGATACTAAAGCCAAAGTGCTCATTCATCCTCCTGGCTGCGTAGCCTAGCAAGCTTGTTCGTCACAACCACATCAAGTTGTGCTGCTCGCTCAACAATTTCTTTCCTCTTCCTTGTGGACACATTATGTGCAATCTCTGCACAGTAAGTTCTGACAAGAAAAGATACAATCAGCTGCCAGGAATAAAGATGATCAAACAACTTTAAGCGAATGATAGAATAGGACTGCTTAGTGCATTACCGGTTGTGCATCATTAAGATCTCGAGTTCACTCGCATTGTGCACAACAAACTTCTTGAAGCCATTGGGAAGATAGTGACGTGTCTTCTTGTCAGACCCATATCCAATATTGGGCATCAGCACACAACCCTTAAACTTTCTTCTAACACGAGAATCAATACCTTTTGGTCTGCGCCAGCTTTCCTGTTTTAGAAAAATCAAAATAGTTAGTTTAATTTAGTAAGCCAGCACAGTTCATGGTGACTGATGAAAGGTAGATGCATTTGGAACTCTAGATGCATTCCCCTGTCGATGTAATGAAAATGACCTGTAGCAATGCATGAAACCAATTAACCTTCATAACCCGCATACTAAACCAAATAATAATGTGCAAATCAATGATTATCTATATTTATTATATTATAGCATGAAGTCCACTAGCAAAATGTCGTTTACCTTTTTTACCCTTAAAAAGTAGATCTCACACTAGACCAATAAGTCATTTAATTATTTCTCTAATATTTAGGACTTCAGAATCAACTAAAATTTTATTTTTTCAAAATCATTTCTTATTTAAACTATGTAGAAGTTCCTAATATTTAAATCTTAAAATTCAATTAAAATTTCACCTTATATAATTTCATTCCTTATTTGACCAACTTTTATATCCTTATGGACTTTGGAAATGCTTTTGCAGTTTAATGCATGTCAATTAAAGTTTTTCTTACAACTTGTTTGGATGGTTGTTACATGTCGTTTCATAATGTATCGTATTGTATTGTACTGTATCGTATTGTTTGATAAATACAATGTTTGGATAAATTGTATCGTTTCCCGTTATTTCATGATGTCACGCACCAAAAATAGGAAGAATAAACTTGCAACATTACTAAGAAAAAATAAGATATGAAGTAGAATCATTATATAAAAAATAGGGGAAAGGATAAAATACGTTTATTTAATAATAAAGAAGGGCAAAATGAGAGGAAAAAATAAGGTAACGACGCCACCACACCAAACCCGTCGTTACATAAAGTGACATTTTTCGTCATACGTGGATTTAACGATACTATACAATAAAATTTAAGTAACAATCAAAACAAACATTATATTTAAAGTAACAATATAATAGGTAACAACCATCCAAACAAGTTGTTACACTTAGCCTCTGAAGTATATAACTATTAGTATCTTTTCTCCAAATAATTACAATAATTGATTACAACAATATCCCACGAGAGACCCTTGCAACGCAGCATAGGCTTTTGGTGATGGACATTGGTATTATGATAAAGAGGAAGAAGAGGTCAGGACGAGGACGCCCGATGATTAGGTGGGGCGCCTTGACTAAGGATAAAGCTCAGCTCAGGATTTGGAAGGAAAGTTATCGGTAATGGGAGCTTGGAGAAGTAGTGGGGACGCAAACACTATGTGGTCGACGACGGCGAACTGTATAAGGAAGGCGGCGAGAGAGGTGTTAGGGATATCTTCAGACTGCACCTGTGGCCACAAAGGAGATTGGTGGTGGAAGGCAGTTGTCCAAGGTAAAGTGGAAGCAAAGAAGGCGGCTTACCTACGGTTAATAGGGAGCACT